GAAGCAAGCGCGGTGCACTGTTGAATGCCCTCCGTCGCCCACGGGGAAAAGGAAGTTAGCCGTGAGGCAAGACCTCTGTTTAATGAAATTTTGTTGTGATGAATATAAGATTGATTCATACTATGAAAATAAGCCTGATGCGTTCTTAGACAGCGTCCATCGCCCATGGAAAAAAAGGAAGTGAGCCATTAGACGCCCTTAATTTCTCACCAGGGAGAGTCTGTTTATCACGAATCATTTCTATTCTCCAACCAATCAAATACAGTATTTCGCACTGGTGTTCATCTCTATATTACACCCCCTAGAAATTTTATAGTTTCAAACGCAAAACGCTGTATGATGAAAAAAGTATCAATCAACCTGAACTTGAGCACTGGAAGTACAAAACTCCATATAGGGAGTTAATCAGCAACTACCAAACCTTAATAATATCTATTGTTTAAAAAAAATCTATAGATTCAAAAAAACTTTATAAATGTTTGGAAGTTTATCACCTAGCAATAAAATAAAAGTAATTTTATTATAGAATTGATTATACATCCATTTTTGAAAAAAATAAAAGGCAATACATTTTACAATTTGCTATAGTAAATTGTTAATTTTGTATCTTAGGCTTTATTTTTTCACTCAAAATTGACAGTCACTTAATGAAATTCCTTGTTGCTAACGTAGAAAAAAACATAATTTATAGCTACTGTATAATAACATTTTGGTGTAATTTTTCCAAAAATCACATTGTCATTAGTTACTATAGTAATTATTTTTTCTATTTAAAAATTGATTTTATATATTATTTTTTTTAAAAATTGAAATTTTTTATAGTATATAAATTAGATATTAAAATATAAGATAAATTTAGAATAATTATATAGATATTTATGTCTAGTTGCTACCTAAGGTTATAAGTTTTCCCTAATTGCTTACTCAATAAGTTAAAAGAACGGTTTTTATAAATTTCAAAATGGTTTTTGATGAACACATAGGGTTTTTCATCTCCTAGCAGACGTTTGAACTTTTATTTAGGCAGAAGGGATTTAATTTTAGGCAGAGTGGACATGAATGTTAATCTGAGTAGATATGAATGAAAATCGAGCTGGACATGAATGAAAATTGATCTAGACATGAATGAAAATCGAGCTAGACATGAATGAAAATCGAGCTGAACATGAATGAAAATTGAGCTGGACATAAATGAAAATCGATCTAGACATGAATGAAAATCGAGCTGGACATGAATAAAAATCAAGCTGGACATGAATAAAGATCGAGCTGGACATGAGTGTAAAACGCTCTAGACATAAATATAAATTGGCCTGGATATAAATATAAATCGATCTGGACATGAGTAAAATCAATTTAGACAAGATAAAAATCAATCTGTACATGAATGAAAATCATTCTGGACAAGAATAATAATCAATCTAAACATAAATAATAGACAGCCTGGACATAATAACAGTCAACCTGGACATAGTTTTAGTAAACTAAGACATAATAAAAGTTGAAGTAGATAATATATTAAGTGTTGTAGCAGAGCAGAATATTTGAGTATCTAAGATTTTCAATTCAAGTCAAGATATAATAGATGTTAAGCAGTATAAAGCCAATGTCACGATATAGTAGTATGGCTGTTTCACTCGTAACAAGAAGCTTGTAGGCTAATGTACAGGAAATGGCAACGGTGTGTCAGCGATTCACTGTACGCATAAGCCTATTTTGCTGCTGTGGGAACAGGGCCTGAGCGTTTCCCCACATTTCATTTTACCTGGGTTGAGTTTGAAACAAATTGGGGTTTGTTAGCAGCAGCAGGGAGGAAAAAATCAACAACTAAAGATCCTTTTTTTTTCTCATTAACATTCGCCATGGCAAATCAACAGCTTCGACGCATACTTGTAAATGGCTCCTACCCTCTTCACGATGATTAAAAAACAAAGAAAACAAAATGGCACAATCCACGTATTTATTTGAAAAACGAAATGAAGGTAACTGTTTTCTTAAAAAAAGCATGTGCTCAAGATTTATAAGGAGTAGACCGCCGTTACTACTGCTTAAAAAAACACTGGGTAAGTGAACAAGGGAAGGAAAAGGTTATCGGGTGTGCTTGAGGTATAGCTTTAGTGGAGATATGCCCATTCAGAATTACTGCTTCTTTCTCTTTTTCTACGTATATACTTATGCACCATCTTGTACCATTCCTACGTCAAACTTACGTGTGTAATACAACATCAACCTCTACCTGCACAAACCATTCGTATTCACAACAAGAACGACGTAACAATCTTCTTCTCTATTACTCAAACATAATCATATACAACATGACGCTGATCCGCCATTGACTTGCAAAATATACAGCCTGATGCGATTACTCTTTTCCTTTTGCATATACCAACGTTAACATCGCCGGTCTTCATAGATAAATGAGCTGTAGATAGCAGGAAGGATAATAGACAGGTTTCTTTCCGTTTATGTTGATGTGGATTGGATGAAAATAAAGTATGATGACTGTTATATAAGAAAGATAACAAAGAAGGCTCTATAAGAGTTATACAAGTGCGAAGGATGTTGTTTCGTGGTAAAGGATGGTTATTGTAATTATTGATATTGCGTGGCAGAGTGTCTGGTGCCATGCACAGTCTCGCGTTTGTGAACCCATTTATAGCCACACAATTCCGAGATGCGATCCTTAAAGATCTGCCATTGAGCAGTAGGAACGCACACGATTTCATTAGAAATGAGTGCAAGAACTCCACGTACAGTCAAGTGAGAGAGAGCGTAGCGAATGTCGTCAAGGGTAGTAACTTGCCGGTTGTTCATAGTTACTGTTATTAACACCAAATAAAGTTGCTGTTGTAATAGCAAAAAAACTTCCTCCTTCATAACAACAAACGCCTTTTCTTTTTTGTCCCTGCCATATTATCATCACCGCCTAGAGCTATATCTATAGTTTTAATAGAAGCACTTGTAATAACATGCAATGCCATCCCACACCCGTTTATGCAGACAACTGAGACATAATAACTACATAATGTATGATCTTTTACTTTTATTTTTTTATCCCAACCACAACATCTACAGTAACAATAATAAAACCCTACATTCCACCCATCAGCATATATAACTACCTTATCCATCAAGACCGGCAATTTTCGTGTTGGCATATGTAAAAAGAAAAAGGTAATCGTCGTTGCCATCGTGTGTGTGCGAGTACAGCGAATTGCAGAGGAGGATTATAGCTGTGGTAGTGTGTATGCATCATAGGAATATAACTATTATCACATTGATGTGTATACAAACAGCAAAGAAAGAGATGGCCGTCATTACGACGATGATGTGCTTGAGTATACAAGTATCAAAACAAAAGACCGGCGTTATAGTCGTCATCATGTAATATGGGCGTACATGATAGTGAAAGGTAATCGCGTCAGGCTGTATGTTTTGCAAGTCAATGGCGGATCAGTGTCATGTTGTATATAATTGTGTATGAGTAATGGAGAAGAAGATTGTTGCGCCATTCTTGTTGTGAGTAAAAATCGTTTGTGCAGGTAGAGGACGATGTTGTATTACGCACGTAAGTCTGACGTTGGAATGGTGTAAGATGGTGCATCAAGTATATACAGAGAAGAAAAAAAAAACAGTAATTCTGAAATGAGCGTATGTCCACTAAAGCTATACCTCAAGCACAGCCAATAATTATCTTTTCCTTCCCTTGTTCACTTACCCAGCGTTTTTTAAGCAGTAACGGCGGTCTACTCCTTATAAATCTTGAGCACATGCTTTTTTTAAGAAAACAGCTACCTTCATTTCGTTTTTCAATAAATCTGTAGATTGTGCCGTTTTGTTTTCATCGTGAAGAGAGTAGGAGCCATTTACAAGTGTGCGTCGCAGCTGTTGATTTGCCATGGCGAATCGTAATGTAAAAAAAAACGGATCTTTGGTTATTGTTTTTTTCCTCCCTGCTGCTACTATCAAACCCCACACTTTCCACCTACCTCAGCTACCAGCTTCCAATTTGTTTTAAACTCAACCCAGGTAAAATGAATGGAGGGGAAACGCTCAGGCCCTGTTCCCATAGCAGCAAAATAGGCTTATGCGCACAGTAGTGAGTCTCTGATGCACCCTTGCCATTTCCTGTACATTAGCCTACAAGCTTTTTGTCACGAGTGAACCAGCCATACTACTATATCTTGACATTGGCTTTGTACTGCTTAACTTCTATTATGTCTTGACTTGAATTGAAAATCTTAAGTACTCAAATATTCTGCTCTGCTACACTTAATATATTATCTACTTCAACTTTTATTATGTCTTAGTTGATTAAAACTATGTCTAGGTTGACTGTTATTATGTCTAGGTTGTCTATTATTCATGTTTAGATTGATTATTATTCTTGTCAAAATGATTTTCATTCATGTACAGATTGATTTTTATTTTGTCCAGATCATTTTTTATTCATGTCCAGATCAATTTTTATTCATGTCCAGGTCGATCTTTATTCATGTCTAGATCGATCCTTATTCATGTCCAGATCAATCATTATTCATGTCCAGCTCGAATTTCATTCATGTCCAGCTCAATTTTCATTCATGTCTAGATCAATTTTCATTCATGTCCAGCTCGATTTTCATTCATATCTACTCAGATTAACATTCATGTCCACTCTGCCTAAAATTAAATCCCTTCTGCCTAAATAAAAGTTAAAACGTCTGCTAGGAGATGAAAAATCCTGTAGTAGCTGTCATATCTATAAAGTTTATTTCTTTCCTAGTTATATATATAGTGTGCCGTATATATATGTACATATATAATAGCCCAATTCTTATATAGTTAGTATGGAAAAGAGCAAACCCACTTTTTACATTTTTGTGTTCCTAACAAGTTCACTGTATAGGAGCTTCTCTATTCCAGACAATCGTTGAATCGTTTGCAATTTGGAATGGCTAATCGCTCTCCTTATATTCAGCACGATTGGAGTGAATCTTGTTGAAACGTTGTTGCGTATTCTAGAACAAAACGCCAAGTAACCGCACTGTATAAGAATACGATGAGCCTTGATATAACGTGCATGATTCCTCGCCAACTCCACAATCTCCATTGCTTAGAAGCGCCATTACACTGCTCCACCTATTTGACAAACACAGTCCAACACTAATTAGTGAGATTAGTCACTATTAATAAGGGAAACAGGTATATGCCCAACTCGGTACGTTAGACGTTTGACTTCTTGCTGGACGTCAAACTCGACATCGAACGTCAGGATACTCATCAACAAGTCAAGACAATGGACACGTTTGCGCTTCAGATAAATTGTCTTCAGCTGGTTGTGCCATGACTCAACATAGTTGTTTGTCTCCATGTTCGTGTAAACTGCAGGTTGGTAGCATGCAGCCCACCGATCACAGCCTTGTTCACCAGTAACCCAGTATTTCTGAAAGTAAGAAAAAAAAGGGCTTTCGGTATCTACCAAAAGTAGACAAGAACTCGTGGAGCAGTTGTTAGAGCATCTCCAACGGTCGTTCTAAAATTTTTCTAAAATGGAACGCTGCTATCCTAGCAGGACCATAGAATTGGCATGGTTTTTCCAACGGTCGCGCTATTCTAAAACTGGCTATTGAATTTACTGCTCTGCTCTTTCTACTTCAACCACTCATTTCACAATGTCAAGCCAAAATATTCGCAACCTAAAACAAATGTTCGATGAAGACATTGAGGAAGAACGCCAACGTCAGCGCAGAGTTGAGCGTCTTCAGAGAATCTTTGCAGCTAATGACCAAGACGACGATCAAGTGAGAAAACCCAGAAAAGGCTCTGTTCCTGGTCATCTCGTCATTAACTGCGATCGCGTTGGAGGTCATTGGCGTTTATACAATGACTATTTTGGCGACAATCCTGTTTACCCCGAATACAAGTTCCGTACTCGTTTTCGCATGAGTCGTCGGCTTTTCGAACGGATCGTAAGCGAATTGGAGCAGAAAGATGCCTTCTTTCCGCAGAAGTACGACGCGGCTCATACGCCTAGATTGACACCGCTGCAGAAAGCGACGGCAGCAATTCGCCAACTGGCATATGGCGTATCTGCCGATGCGACCGACGAATATGTTCGACTAGGTGCAAGCACTGCTCTTGAGTGCTTAAAGCGCTTCTGCTTGGCAATCAGCCGCATCTTTGGTGACGAATACCTGCGCTCACCAAACGAGGATGATATCAAGCAGCTTCTTGATATGGCGGAGAAACGCGAGTTCCCTGGCATGCTCGGTTCCTTGGACTGCATGCATTGGGAATGGAAGAACTGTCCTGCCGGATGGAAAGGACAATATCAAGGTAAAGAGAAGAAAGCTACAGTAATCCTTGAGGCTGTAGCAGACTTCGAAACATGGATCTAGCACGCGTTCTTCGGTCTCCTGGGTACGCTGAATGACATCAATGTCTTGCAGCGTTCCCCCATCTTCGATGATCTGGCGTCTGATGTTACGTCGCCCGTCAACTTTTCTGTAAATGGCCACAACTACACCAAAGGCTATTATTTAGTTGATGGTATTTACCCGCCGTGGGCTACGTTTATGGATTCAATCACGCATCCGATTGAGAAGAAAAAAAAGGTAAATTTTAACAATGCATATGGAGAGCAGCAACTCTAACTACTTATATAGTTGTTTGCCTGTATGCAAGAAGCGTACCGTAAGGATGTCGAGCGTGCCTTTGGGATCTTGCAAAGTAGATTTGCTGTGATTCGACACCCAGCAAGACTATGGTAACCCGACGATCTGTCAATGGTTATGCGCGCATGCATAATCTTGTATAACATGATTGTTGAAGATCAGTGCTGCAATCCAGGAGAGGATGTTGCTGATGACAACGAAGCCGAAGTATTGCGAAGTGTTGGATCGGCGCCCATTTTGACAGTTCGCAGGGATCCAAACACCATGAGCGAATACTTAAATCGCTATGATGAGATCAAGGATGTTGCGGTCCACGATCAACTGAAGAACGACCTCGTTGAGCATTTGTGGCAGCACCAAGGCAATATGATCTAGTAAAACACAAAAGATATTTTTTATTTATTGTTTTCTATTACTCGTCAACTTCGTCGTCGGTAGTCTGTTGAACTTCTACGTCCTGGACAATGGCTTTTGCGATTCTGGCCTTTGCATTGGCCAAAGTCTCGCCTTTTCTCAGCGTCCAATACTCGAGTTCAGCTCCTAAGTATCTGTCGAGCTGTTCTCGCATCACTTCATCGTCGTTCATTTTCTCCTGGAGCTCGATGCGCCTGCGGCTGTTCTGGACATGCTCCTCTTCAGCCTTCGCCAATCGAGCGCGATCATCGTCCAATTTACGCTTGCGCGTTCCATCCTCCTTCTCTTGCTCCTTGGCTTTCTTGCGACCGATTGGGCGCTTCACATACTCAGGTGCGCTTTGATTTGTCACATTGACATACTTGTTACTGAACTTTGGTTGCTCATGAAGCTCATTGTAACAGTGTTGAAACTTCCAAGCAGATTTTGCAGCTTTCTTATACAGCGTTACTGCGTAGTCTTTCTTCACTCCCATATATTCATCAGTACTGGTATCGTATCGTTTATGAAAACTAGCATCCCCTAACCTCATTTTCTTCGTTGTTTCTGCTTTTATTTCGCGCAAGAGCTTTTGCAAGACAACCGCAGTATCTAGACACCTCTCTTTGGATGGTATCCCAGCGGCTCGAGAGGGCTCCCTGCTAGTTCGTACATCCATATCTCCCCCTCTTTGAAGAAAATTTTTGTAGATAGTCTCCCACAATATTTAGAGGGGAACATCGGTGCCCTTTGACGAACGAGTGGAGGTGGCAAGCCAGGATTGACACAACCACACATCCTCTTCATTGCTCCAGCTCGGACCGCGATTGCCAGCTTTTGCTGCTGCTGCTGTCGACGATTCTGCGACAACTTCGGGAACGGTGGTCGATTCTTAACACGAGATTCGACATTAGTGATGGGGATCGGGGCAGAAGAACTAGAAGACATTGTTGTTGGAAAAGGAAGTGATTTATAAAGAAGAGAGAGCTTTATTTTACTGCGTACAACAACGCGATTTTATTTTAGAAAACTTGCCCTAATTTTGGGATGCCTATTCTAAAAAAAATTTGACCCTTTTCTAAAATAGAATAGAAATAGGACGACCATTAGAACTCGAAATTTTCTATTTCGGAATCCTAAAATAGAGTTCAGAACGACCGTTGGAGATGCTCTTAAAATGTATCAACATTACGTTCGTACATCAACGCGCGTAGCTTCTCACAGGCAATCTGCATGGCGATGGCCTTGCTTCTACTAGGCGATGACTTGATCTTAGAACGGACGTTTTTCATCCATGAGCGCATGACATGCCAGGTGCAAAACTGGATTGTATATAAGGGCCAGACAGCGCGGATGGCATTATCCTCAGGCAGGCTGCAGTCAATAGTGATGCGATATAGGTTTACACCAAGGGAAGCAAGCTGATGCAACCAGGCACCAAGGGGAGTAGAGGCAGTGGTATCGGTAAAGAGGTAGGCAACTGGAACCCCTTGAGCAGCAACTGGATGGCAGATAACCATGGTATATAAAATACTATTAGAGTACTGGCTGACATCATGAGTGGCATTAAGAGAAATAAACTTGGCATTCAAGAGCAAATCCTTCTGCTAAGGAGCAAAGAAACCGAACGTAAAGTTATCTTCGGTAAGACACTTTACTGCTTGCTGTTGCTGGTTTTCATCAATGGTGATCTTTTCATTGATCCACACAAAATATCCGATCGATTCAAGGTGTTGCAACCACAAAGACAAAGACGAGAAGTCATCATCATTTCTCTGCGATTTCTCTTGACGATACTTGTAGTAAATGTTGTATACATCTACTGTGTTCACGTATGCTTCACGTCTGTTGTCACCAATAGTGCAGTATTCACGCTGCATATACAAGCGCACGTCACGTACGTTGTATCCCTTATGCAATTCTTGAAGGATCTTGCTCTTGATTTCTTGTGAATTGGGCAAGTACTTGACATCTTCGCCGCTACCAGGAGTATGATCTGGATGACCTCCAGCAAAGAACAAATACACCTTTTCTGGCTCCTCTTCATAGCATACTGCTCTGAAGCGAGCTGGACAGCCAATTTTCTTTGATCTTTGGCGGATACGGATCGACTTTGATGCACCACCTTTGACACGATCGTTGCGCACACGGACGCCTCCAGAACGATGGCAAACATAACGCTCGGACCATTTCACTTTTCTTTTACGAGCTCTTTTGGTAGGGTGGATGTCTATAAGTGATGTTATATTGTGAGATAGATTAATGCAGGTACATAATTAATTTTTCCTTATTTGTATTCATTGTTGATTTATTATACCTCTACTTTCTTCTACTTCGTTTTCCTCAACAACTTCTCCCGAAATCGTCGCGTCATTCGCTTGTTGGATTTCATTGCCATTGCTTTCACAGATCAGAATTCCTTTGCCATTTTGGTGATCTTTTTTCACCCAGCAATGACCAGACACTTGAGGTGCACGCTCGATCGTCGCTCTGTAGGTTGCAATCGGTAGCCACTCTGGAACACTCTCGTTTTCGAGGTCGAGAATAATAGGCGTGTTGCTGTTGTTGTTGGACATTGCGTGTTTTTAATAGCAGTAGTAGAAAAGTATGTGTATCGAAGAGGGCACTTGTTTATTTTTTTGATCTTTCTACTACAGACTATACTAGGTCCGCGATTCTCAATTATTCATGATCATACTTTAACAGAACGCACAAAGGTTTTGTCTCATATTGACATTTATCATCAGATGGTGCAATAATAAGAGATGCACGATTCCCCTCCATATATGTATTATTCTGTGTTTTAGAGATGAAGGATCCATGTAGTATTGAAGAGACATTTTATTATAAAAGCTTTATTCATATATACTATTTATTAACGGCACTTTACAACTATAAATTTGGGTAGGGACTTACCTACACTTCTAATATCATACCATAAGCATAAATATAGTACTCACATCTTTTGGTCCCTATGATGTATTGACAGGTATGTGTATCTTTGGTTCTAAGAGGAAATAGAGAGAATTAGTATATTGCCAGTTATATTCGACGCTTGCTTACATATCATGTTTTCTATGCTTTACATAAAACGTCCCTCTTTTCTTGAACACGAACTTCTTTACAACGCATGGCTGAAAGAGCCAACAACATAATACCTTTGACTGATCCTGCCTATATATATATTAGCACATCGTTGAGAATATAGCACGAATGCACTATAGCAAAAAAAAAGCATACCCGTTAAGAACCACAGGTACAATATTAGCTGGCCGTCATCGTTCAATGATCGTTCATTCCATCG